GAAAGATATCGGAGAGAGAGGTGAACGGAGGGAACGATGGCGTATTATCTCGCGGTGAGAATCGGTCCTTTGTGTGTGCGTGGCAGATTTCGTTCACGTAACCTTGCGCGCAGATGGAATCGAGACCGGTCTTCGGGATTAGGATACAGAGGAGAGGTTCGACGACCCGTGTCTCTTCTATTACACGAGCTGTCGATGGTCCCTCAGCTAAGCTAGGCGGCAGTTATGACGCATAGACGAGAAAAAAAAGGAGCCACGTACGAGGCGAACGGTCGTTTAGCCAAAGTGAACGGGGTTACCGATCTCGAGTGGCCGTGACTCTGGGCCAGTTGGACTCCACGTACCCGGTGCTCAGAAAAATCACGCGCAAAAATCCTTCTTATAAAAACATATTTATTGCAAATCGAAAAATTTCAATTGATCGCGTGAAAAGGGTGAATTTTTGTGGATACATGGAGAAAAAATCGAGAGAAAGAAAATGATCGAGAGTTTGGATTGCAGACCAGTCTAGATCGATTTGGGCCGATTTACATTCATGCGGCTCGTACGTGATCGGCGTATGCAGCGAGCCGTGAATGGGAAAAGAGGGTGGGAGAGTGTAGGTAAAGGATGGCGCTGGGGTTAAATGCACGTCCCCGTAAAGGGGTTGCGAGAGGACAACGGACGGAGGAGGAAACGGTGTGAGAGGGACGCACCGTAGAAAAAGCGCGTACTCAAAGGAGGTGTAAACAAGGACGGGAGAAAAACACCGGCAGGATTTTTGTAGACGGTTGTCTGGCTTGAAAATTTACCAGACCAGAAGAAATTGTCCTTCGATAACCACCGCGATCATCGTCTTCAACGTGAACACCATATCGTACCTACTAGAAATTCTAAAAGGAAAATTTCAAATACCGTGGAAACGAATGGAATCCATTTAAATTCAAATGACCCAACTCTCTGGTAGTGTAATTGCTTTTTTTTTCATTCTTGCCCCGCTAAATTGAATCGTCTTGTATTCGCAAAAGAAGGTGAACGTTTTCGGTGTTCTTAGATCATTCGACAACCTTGTCGGTCTTATCGATTGTACGCGTTACATAAACCACCCTGGTCGGAACTGAGTTACCTTACGAAAAAGCCATCGAAACTTCCCACCGAATCGAAATCTTACGTGGAATCGTTTTACCAAAAGCACCGCGCAGCGAGGGAAAATAGAATACCCCGGATACGTGTGAAAAAGTAAAAGACTAAAGGGGAACGTGTGTTATTTTTCATCGCGAAAGCGTCTCCGTCGGAGAGAGCGTCTTACGCTCGCGAAGAAGTTATCCGAAGAATTAAACTTAGAAGCGGATCGGCGCATGCACCCTGTCGGCATCGACACGAACAGAGAGACACAGTCGACAGCATGGAAAATCCATGAACGAGCGAGAGAGAGGAAATATGGAAGAGGAGGAAAAGAGGCAGCGAGAAAGGAGAAGGGAGAAGAAGAGAAAGAGAAGGGGACACACGGTTGCACGCGCTGGAGTACCGGAGGGGTTGAAAGGGGTAACGAGAGCGCGGCTGATAAAGAGGAGAGGAAACACGGTGACCGTGCGACGAGGACGCAAGAGGGAAATGCACGAGAGCCACAGTGGCGGGAGGGATAGAGCGATAGAGAGAGGAGGAGAGAAGGAGTTGAGTGAACAACAGATAGAAAGGCAACAAGAGTGAGCCAGAGAGAGAACGAAAAAGTGTCGAAGGTGGAAGGGAGAGAACGATCGAGAAAGAGGAAGAAGACAGAGAGAGGGTGAAGCATGGAGGAGGAAGAGGAGGAGGAAGAGGAGGAGGAGGAGGAGGAGGAGGAGGAGGGGGAGGTGGAAGAGGTGCGGAGGGAGAGAACCTCTGGCAACGGGTCGATCGAAAGCGCAGCGCAGAGAAATGCACCACCTCTGCTCTGGTCTGGCAGCTTTGCTGCTGGCACACCACCGCGTCCATGTTCGTGAGAAAGAGAGAGACAGAGAGAAAGGGAGGAGGTGGAAGAGAGAGGAAGGGAATGAGCGAGAGAAGGATAGCATGCGACCAATACCGACGCAGGGGGAGGACGAGCCAAGCCGACTCGCGTTGGGCTAGGTCAGGTCTACCCGAGTTCCACACACTGCTCTCTCTGCGTGTGCCATCCAAAGAGACCCCGAAGGCGGAGACCACCCTCGGAGAAAAAGGGTTGAAACGCGAAATTGCGCGTCGCCGTGTTCATTCTCGATCAACAGCGGAGTGTTTTGTTACGAAGGATTTGTTTAAATAAAGACGATCGATCGCGGTAATACGAGAGCGACTCATTGACTGACTGGTTGGTTTGTTTGGCGGAGAATCGGCATCGGAAGCGCGGCGTGCTCGCGTTCGCCGCTCGGACGCGAACATCGTATTTTCTGTCCATTGACAGCGAGGGTGAAAAGGTTCTTCCGACTAATCGGTGCACGATCTTTCTCTCTGTGGTAGATTAGCGTGGAAAAATCGATCGAAACGGTGGTCGCACGGTAGTTTTTCGAGAGTTGTCGAGACGCGTCTTCGTTGTTCAATCCGGGGAAAGTAAGATAGGGTGGAGAGGGGGTGCGAGGCAGAAAGAGGTGAAGTGCGTCGAAGTGGTTCGTGTGTGTGTGTGTGCTTTCGAGAGGAAAAAAGAGAAAACGGTGCTTCCCGGTTTTGGTTTTTCTTGGATTTCATATTCGATCGCGTGAAGTAACGCGCGGATCCAGAGAGTATCAAGGTGGAAAGATAGAAGAGGAAGTGTCGAAATCACGAAGAGGATAGTTGTTGATAAACAAGCAAGAAGAGAGAGAGAGAGAGAGAGAGAGAGAGAAAGAGAAGGAGAGAGAGTGTGTGTCGGTGGTTGATTAGTCGGGTGCAACGACAGCGCCGATCCCAATTTCCTTTTCTCGATGTCCTGATAATCGATAAGCGTTGTATAGGTGGTAGAAGGACCACCTAGGCCGGCAGCGATCGGCCTTATCGACGTTACGAAATTTCGTCTTGTTGGGGGACATTTTCAAATAAATGTTGAGAAAAGCAAGCGTGTTTCATCCCTCAACGCGAGGCCAGCCGAGGCTCCCGAGTGTCCATAGAGTCGTCGGGATGCCGATCTCCCTGAGAAATCACAGGATCACATAAAACTCGGGCATAACGATACTTTGCTCGTGAATCCATCGCCCCCCCTATCGTTAAGGGGCAGTGTAATCAGCCGCGTCAGCACAACAGAAGAAAGATCGGCGAAGGAAGTGGTCTCGCGAGGCGGTGCAGGACTCTCGTCGTCTCGACTCGCAGACTCGCGAGCCGATGCACCAAAAGGCGTGAGTACTGCACGTTACCGATCCATCACTCCTCCTCGTCAAGCTAGAGAAATATTCAGAAAAACACTGAGAAAAGAGGAAGAGCGAATGATTAGCGTTGTGCTCTGCTCAAAAAAAAAAAAAAAAAAAATTATGAACGCGATCGTTCACCAGAAGTTAGTGCAATGCCCCGTCCTATTGTCCATCCCCTGAAATGCCCTTAAACAATTCATCGTACCTGAAAAAGCTTCGATTAAAAATAAACATTCAAACACGCAGATGAAAACCAAAAAAAAGGCCCGTAAAAAAACGAAGAAAAAAAATCGAATAAACGTGTCCAACTGAAAAAGTGATAAAAACATTTCTCCTATGAAAAAGTACATTTCCCATCATCCTCGATACCAAAACAACAAGAAAAAAAATACAAAAATCTAATACTCCACGACAGATGGAAACGAGAGAGAGAAAAAAATAGACATATATACATCTAAAAAGAGGGGATCGAACTCGAGAGCAATAATAAACATCGTTCCACTAGCAAACGAACGGAAACGTGATTTTGAAGGAATCGTGGAAAATCGAGGGCAAAAGGAAAATCCTGTTAATCAAAGGGGATCCGTGGGAGAGAGGGAGAGCACCGAAGCGGGGCACCGAAAACCCGAAAAGTTACGCAGAAAGTTAACGAATAGTGAAACGGGCTGGTAGTATGCGATTTCCACGGAAATGGAAATTCAACGAGTAGCGAAAACCCCCGATGGCTGGGGTGGGCGAGGGTGAGGGACGTCCGGAGGGGCAGGGTGGGAAAGAGGGGGATGGACTTCAGAGTTTATGCCCCGTCCCCCTCCCTCTCACCCCTGCAGTCGATCAATGCGTGGACGGGTTTCACTTTCGCGGTGTTAAAGTGTTGCACCATCGCCGATTAAGGGACAAGAAAAAACGCGATTTCCCCCTCCCCTATTATCTCACGTGGATGAAATTATTCTTCTTCTTCCTCTTTTCCCTTTCCTTCCCTTGATTGTACGCGAAGGAAACGGGATTAAAGAAAGAGGACTTGTTTAAATGTCGCGACGTCGAGCGAAGGAATTTCCTTGGGATAGTAGAGTACTACACGAGCCAAGCGACACGCGGACGAGGAACGCTCTTTTCACAAAGCGTTTCGAAGTTAATGGCTGGGAGTTATTGATCGTATCGATTTACCGGAATCTCGACTATTTATAACGCTCTGCGTTGCCGGCCGTCATTATACATAAATGTATTCTAACGTTTTCTAATAATATATCGCGAATTTTTGCATTTCACGACAATGACGATCGACGCCAAGGATTGATGGTTTCAAATTGAATTTCTTTTAATTGGACATTTATTTTCAAACGATTTCGGCAACGTACGGAATCGAATCGTATTTCGAATCGAACGAAACACGTAGAACACACCTCATGACGTTCGAAACCCGAATATAACGGAGCTCCGATATGTGCTAAATTATTAGCAAGCGACTCCCGTGGATAACGGGTATCGAGCACTTCTCCACTTCCTCTACGTAAAAGTCACACGCTCCTAGGCGAAATCGAATCTACGCGATTACGATCGTAAATTACCATAAGTAACAGAATTTCCCTGTTTTTTTTCATTCCCTTTTGTTGAACGTGTGGTATCACTGTGAAGCTAACGTATATTTTCTTTTTCTTTTTTTTTTCACGAATTTCTGTGCAGTGAAGGATGGAGGCCAGCGAGTGGGATCACGCGACCTTGAGGGAAGAGGAATTCGAGCAGCATGCCGTATATTTGGTACCGGATGTGGCGGCATCGCCGGCCGATACCAATCGTGCGGAGGCATCCCTGCCAAGAAATTTGGTCCTCAAACCTTCTCAGGCCCTCAACGATGTACGTTCCTCCGCCAAAGAATCCTTTCTCGAGACCTCCTCGGTGAGAGTCGCGCGAACAATCGCAATTTCTCTAAAAGCGAAACCGCCAAAAAAATGCCCCCCTTTGAATCGTGAATTTTTCCGAGAAAAAACTTTCGAGGCATTATATATATGTATGCATACCGGGTAAATCAAACTTGACCGAGTGACAAGGCTAATTAACTTACCCGAGTATGACCTACAGCTCAAGTCAATCGTTACACTTTCCTCGCTGACAGCAATCGAGACCAATAGCCTCGGTCGCTGCACGACAGTGCAAACTCGCCACAGTTTCAAGTTCAGATTGTACAAAGAACAATGGGAGAAGTAGCGTAAGATGATTCGGAGATAATTGAAAATCAATCAACGGTTAATATTGTCGAACAGACAGAGATAGCGAAATGTACAAATATACAGATGGTCCCAAGGTAGAAACAACGTTTCTTCACGCGAAAATAGATTTACCACACGATACGTTCAGAAATATCACTCGGTTGAAACGGTTTAACGCGATGTACATTCTCTACCCACGACCGAACCAATTCTCGTTCTCTAAAAATATATCTCTCTTGCCATAAGGAAAAGGAGAAGAGAAACGTCGACGACGAGAAAAACGAACTGAACGATAATTAGCGATTCGATGTCTGTACAGGTTTTGGGAGTTTGGAGCACAAGTTACATTCCCAAGGGGACTCGATTCGGTCCTCTCGTGGGCCAAGTGTACACCAAGGACTCGGTGCCGGCCGACGCGAACCGGAAGTACTTCTGGAGGGTAAGAATCATTCGAAAACCATCTTACCGGCTTAGCATCGTAACTATCATCATCGACTAAGTCTCTCTCCGAGATGATGAGAAGGGAGAGAGAGAGAGAGAGAGAGAGAGAGAAAAAATAGAAAAAGAAGCGGG